TGTCCCATCTACCTCTTACTCTAACTGTAGCTACAACTAGATAATGATACGATATATCAGTTGCCCCTCTATAAACGTGTACAGGTCTCCCTCAACATACACGTTTTCAACTTTCACGGGCTTCACACATTCGCGAATTCCCAACCGCCAAATTCCCAGCCACCAAATTCCCAGCCGCCAAATCATATTTAAGTTTCCCGCCACCTGCGAGTCCCTACTACCCTCCCTCCGACCCCCGCAACTGGCAGCCAGCCCTCCCACCACTCAGTGTGGTGAGTGTTTTGTTTGTTCATTATTTGCTATTAAACTACACCTGGAGTTTACCTGGAGAGAGTTCTGGGGGTCAACGCCCCCGCGGCCCGGTCTGTGACCAGGCCGCCTGGTGGATCAGAGCCTGATCAACCAGGCTGTTGCTGCTGGCTGCATGCAAACCAACGTACGAGCCACAGCCCGGCTGGTCAGGAACCGACTTTAGGTGCTTGATAAGTGCCAGCTTGAAGACTGCCAGGGGTCTGTTGGTAATCCCCCTTATGTATGCTGGGAGGCAGTTGAACAGTCTCGGGCCCCTGACACTTATTGTATGGTCTCTTAACGTGCTAGTGACACCCCTGCTTTTCATTGGGAGGGTGTTGCATCGTCTGCCAAGTCTTTTGCTTTCGTAGTGAGTGATTTTCGTGTGCAAGTTCGGTACTAGTCCCTCTAGGATTTTCCAGGTGTATATAATCATGTATCTCTCCCGCCTGCGTTCCAGGGAATACAGGTTCAGGAACCTCAAGCGCTCCCAGTGAAGGTTCTCTGTACATTTTCTAGGTCAGCAATTTCACCTGCCTTGAAAGGTGCTGTTAGTGTGCAGCAATATTTCAGCCTAGATAGAACAAGTGACCTGAAGAGTGTCATCATGGGCTTGGCTTCCTTAGTTTTGAAGGTTCTACAGTATAAATAATGTAAACCCATTCATGACTGCGTATTGGAATGGCTATTCGGACAGGTATTAGACGGTGACATCATGTGTTTACTCTGGAACACTGCAAAGAATTAAACATTTCTGCTACAGCTAATAATAACAATAGTAATAATAATAATAATAATAATAATAATAATAATAACAACAATAATAATAATAATAATAATAATAATAATAAATATGATATAGTTGAAGAAGGAAATTGTACAAAAATATGAGGGAGTGGTTGACACATCGTCAGTATGACTTTGTTTAAGGTGGTGTGAACATTAGTCTCCCTGCTCTTCCAAACATTTCACAATAATTCATTGTGTTTGGTGCTTGTAGATTGAGTGTGACTGGAGTGGTTGAGGCAGTGATTGAGGCAATGGTATTTAATAACATACATGTTAATAATAATATGTACTATTATTATTTATAACATATGCTATTAAATACATACATGTTAATAATAATACATGTTATTAATAATAACATGTACTATTATTATTTATAACATATATGTTATTAAATACCACTGCCTCAACCGCTGAATTATTGTGAAATGTTTGGAAGAGCATAAACAAAGTCACACTGACGATGTGTCAACCACTCTCTCGTATTTTTGTACAATTTCCTTCTTCAATTATATCGTATTTATTATTATTATTATTATTATTATTATTATTATTACTATTGTTATTATTAGCAATAGCAGAAATGTTCGATTCTTTGCTGTGTTCAAGAGTAAACACATGATATCACCGTCTAATACCTTTCCTAATAGCCATTCCAATATGCAGTCATGAATGGGTTTACATTATTTATTCTGTAGTTTAATAGCAAATAATGAACAAACAAAACACTCACCACACTGAGTGGTGGGAGGGCTGGCTGCCAGTTGCGGGGGTCGGAGGGAGGGTAGTAGGGACTCGCAATGGTGGAGGCAGTGGTGGAGTCTGTGGTATTTAATAACATACATGTTATTAACATACATGTTATTAAATAACATACGTTATTAACCCTTTCAGGGTCCGTCCCGTAGATCTACGGCTTTACGTTCAGGGTCCAAACCGTAGATCTACGCCATGAGCTCAGCTCACTCTGATAAACTGTGAGTGGTACATTTGGGCCTAGATATGAGAGAATACATCTATGTGGTATGTGTGCACCACATAAAACAGATCCTGCAGCACACTGTGTATAATGAGAGAAAAAAAATGAAATCATGATTTTTCGATTAAAACAGCAACTTTGCAGTGTTTTTTCGTATGGTTTGTATAGTTGTATTTGCGATTTCTTGGTCTCATTTGATAGAATGGAAGCCCATATTACAGAAATAGAGATGATTTTGATTGGTTTTACCTGGAAATGGCTTGAAACTGAGCTCAAAGTAGCAGAAATGTTAAATTTTTGCCGATATTCAAGAGTAAACAAACGACCTCACACGTCTAATACACGTCAGCTGGTGGGTCTAATATACATTCACAAATATGGTGATGATATTTATACAATTATTACAATATTGCATAACAGTAAATCTTCTATTTTTTGGTTGTGAATAAAAATTCATTATGTGAATAAAAAATCAAAATGGAATTTATTTGTAAAGCCTCAAAACATAACTAATGAACAGAGGGAATGTTAGTTTAGTGCCAGGAATTGCCTACATTGTTTATTCTGAACCCTATTTTGAAATTGGAATATTTTGAACTTGTGTTAAATTGGCCAAATTAACAATTTCCGATCACTTTATTTTGTAGTTGAAACAGTTGACTAGGCGATTTCTTGTGCTCAATCGATAGAATAGAAGTAATACTAGTGAAATAGCTAAGAATTTGGTTGATTGGAATAATGTAATTGGCCTAAAATGGGAGTCAAAGTCGGCAAAATCGCCGATTCGTAAATATCGCTGACACATCAAAATTCGCGAGAGCATAATTTCGTCAATTTTCCTCCAAATTTTGTACTTTTTGTTTTACTACCTTCACAAAAAGATTCTCTACGATTTCATAAGAAAAAATAACAAATTTTTTTTTTGAAAATTCTTGGACACTGGTGCGTGACTCCAGATTTGGGCCTTGGACCCTGAAAGGGTTAAAGCATAACACGTATATATTTAGTACAATTTACGACGTTTTCATGTATTTTATGATTATTCATGGTTCAACAAGTTAAGGAAGCAGTATTGTAATACATATCCCTACAATATATTGGGGCACCAAACATTCACGGTTTTTCAACATTCGCGAGGCTCTTGATCCCCTAACCCTCGCAAATGTTGAGGGAGACCTGTACATCCTGGAGCCAACCCATCAACCTTTTATCCACCAATACATAATCTAACAAACTTCTTTCATTACGTGCTATATCATACCTTGTATATTTATTTATCCTCTTTTTCATAAAATATGTATTACTTATTACCAAACCTCTTTCTATACATAGCTCAATTAAAGGTTCCCCATTTTCATTTACCCCTGGCACCCCAAATTTACCTACTACTCCCTCTATAACATTTTTACCCACTTTAGCATTGAAATCCCCAACCACAAGTACTCTCACACTTGGTTCAAAACTCCCCATACATTCACTCAACATTTCCCAAAATCTCTCTCTCTCCTCTACACTTCTCTCTTCTCCCAGGTGCATATACGCTTACTATAACCCATTTCTCACATCCAACCCCTTTATTTTACTCCACGTAATCCTTGAATACATTTATAGTCTCTCTTTTCCTGTCATAGCTTATCCTTCAACATTATTGCTACTCCTTCTTTAGCTCTATTTGAAACCCCTGACCTAATCCCATTTATTCCTCTCCACTGAAACTCGCCCACCCCCTTCAGCTTTGTTTCACTTAAAGCCAGGACATCCCACTTCTTCTCATTCATAACATCCACAATCATCTCTTTCTTATCATTCACCCAACATCCATGCACATTCAGACTTCCCACTTTGACAATTTTTTTTATTATTCTTTTTAGTAATTATTACAGGAAAAGGGGTTACTAGCCCATTGTTCCTGGCATTTTAGTTGACTTTTACAACACGCATGGCTTACGGAGGAAAGATTCTTATTCCACTTCCCCATGGATATAAATGGAAAAGTAACAAGAACAAGAACTATTAAGATAAAATCAAAGAAAACTCAGATGTGTATAAATAAACGTGTATATGTATGTTTAGTGTGACTTAAGTGTAAGTAGAAGTAGCAAGACATATCTGTAATCTTGTATATTTTTGAGACAGAAGACACCAGCAATCCTGTCATCATGTAAAACAATTACAGGCTTTCGTTTTACACTCACTTGGCAGGACGATAGTACCTCCCTGGGCGGTTGCTGTTTACCAACCTACTACATATGTACACTATATACAGTTGGAAATGTATGTGTACAACACGGTTTGGGCAAGGCCAAGACACAGCCTGGAGACAGAATGGACAACCGTGCTCAACCAGTTCTAGTATGGAAATGACAAGGGTAGACAGTGGGTGGTGCCCACACCACCTCTATGATTGCCAGTCCCACCTCATTGGCTGAACCTGGTACTGATTGAACAATGGGGCCCCATCGTTCGACCCTAGTACTGGTTTGCTGGTTGGGGAGAAAGCCTTTCAATGAGGGTGTGTACATGCGCCGAATAAAGGTTGCGTACTCTTTGCATGCCACAACCCCACCCCGAGAAGGTTCAGGAATAGGCTCCCACCTCCCATTTGTAACCGTGCCACCATGGCACCATTTAATGGGACTGCCTTTCCTCTCAACCATCCAACTCTTAGATAGAGCTCAGCTTTATTTGTGACATAAAGCCAAACCCTAAACTTAGAGTGAGACAGCAGACATCAGGGCTAACGTAGGTCCAAGATACCTACGGATGGAAGCAGGACAGCCCCTCACTAAAACACCCCCCACAACATATATAAAGGGGGTAAAAAAAAAAAAAAGCTAGAAACCAGTTACCACAGGTCCCTAACACATCCTAACCTAATACACATAAAATCTCTAGATAGTGAGTCTGCCAACTTGTTTTCTTTGCCAGGGATATGTTTTACCCTGATATTATATGGGTGCAGCCGGAGGGACCACCTCATGATTCTTGTGTTGTGATTCTTCATATTTTAGAGATAAATTAAAGGGTTGTGGTCGGTGTAGACTGTGACCACCTGCGAAGTCTGGCCCACATATACAGTGGACCCCCGGTTATCGGCCGTAATCTGTTCCAGAAGGTCAGCCGATAACTGAAATGGTCGATAACCGAATTAATATTTCCCATAAGAATTAATGGAAATACAATTAACCCGTTCCAAACAAAAATATTCACAAAAAATAATGTTTTTAACAATTATTTAAGTATTACATACCTTTATTGAAGGCTAATGCTGGCTTCTGGAAGATAGGGAAGAGGAAAGAGGGAGGAGTTAGTGTTTGGAAGGGAAATCCCCTTCCATAAAGACTTTAGGTAGCAAAGCCTTCTCTGGGGTTACTTCCCTTCTCTGTCTTTTTTTGCCACTAGGACCAGCTTGAAAGTCACTGGACCCCTGTGTCACAAAATAACTGTCCAGAGTGCTCTGTTTCTGGCATCTCTTTAAGACTTCCCTGAAGTGGGAACATACTTTTCAGCTGCACATTTGTCAGAACTTGCAGCCTCACCATACCTTACAATACTGTGTATGCCACTACACATCTTAAATCCAACAAAACCAACCTTGCTGGCCCTAAAAATTTCACAAATCGCAGTAAACACTTGTTCCTGCATTTTCTTGCAAGATCCTCATGCAACTGCTCCTGCCTTCTCACAATGAAATTCGACTCCACAACACTGTCTCCCACTAATTCTTTTTCCTTAATCCACCATAATAACTTTTCCATCTCTTCCATTATTGGTGGTCTTTGTTTAGTTAGAAAAGTTACTCCTTTTGCAACATTAGCATTGTTCTTTCTTTGCCAGGATGGATGCAATTGTTGATTTATTCTTGCTGTACATCCTGGCAAGTTCCATCACCTTCATACCATTCTCAAACTATTCTATCACTTCACGATTAAAACCCTTAAACGTTCCAAATGTATATATCCATTCACTCGCGCTGCGCCATGAATATTTTGAAAAAGAAAATAATCGTTTTTTTTATAGAAAAAAAGGGCAGTACTTACAGAGATATGAGGCAGAGAAGTTGGCACTGGATGCTTATGTGACAGCAACATGGAGTCCTGCACCTTGCAGAAGTGTTGCCGATTTACAACCATTTTTTTCTTATTTTTCATATTATTTTTATCAATGTTATGTTTTCTGATAATCACAATTTATAGTAGTTCTTGTCATTTCATAACCAATCTTTGTTCTGACACTAGTATTAGGTACTGAAATTGTACTCAAATTGTCACAAACACACTGACAGGTGGTCATTTACTTATTTAATAGAATCTCAGCAATGTTTTGGATTATTTTTTATTTATTATTCATTATCACACTGGCCACGATTCCCCACCAAGGTAGGGTGGCCCCGAAAAAGAAAAACTTTCACCATCATTCACTCCATCCTGTCTTGCCCAGAAGGGTGCTTTACTCTACAAGTAAACCAACATTAACCACCCCTCCTCAGAGTGCAGAGCCACTGTACTTCCCATCTCCAGGACTCCAAGACCGCCTGCCGGTTTTCCCTGAACCCCTTGATAAAATGTTACTTTGCTCACAACTCCAACAGCAACGTCAGTATAAAAAACCATTTGTCTCCATTCACTCCAATCAACACCTCCACGCATGCCTGCTGGAAGTCCAAGCCCCCTCGCACACAAAACCTCCTTTACCCCCTCCTCCAACCTGTTCCTAGCCGACCCCTACCCCGCCTTCCTTCCACTAGAGACTGATAACACTCTTGAAGTTATTCTGTTTCGCGCCATTCTCTCTCTCCACAATGTCCGAACCACCTCAGCCCTCTGACAACAGATTTGGTATCCTGCAAACCCTCCTCCTAACTTCCAAACTACGAATCTCTGCATTATATTCACACCACAACATTGCCCCTCAACCATGACATCTCCACTGCCTCCAGCCTTCTCCTCGCTGCAACTTTCATCAACCCATGCTTCACACCCAGAGAAGAGCGTTGGGTAAAACTATAACTCTCATACATTCCCCTCCTTTGCCTCCAAGGACAAAGTTTCTTTGTCTCCACAGACTCCTAAGTGCACCACTCACTCTCTTTTTCCCTAATCAATTCCTATGATTCACCTCATCTTTCATAGACCATCCGCTGACCAACGTCCACTCCCAAATATCTGAATACATTCAACCTCCTCCATACTCTCTCCCTCCAATCTGATATTCAATCTTTCATCACCTAATCCTATTTGTTACCATCATAATCCTTACTCTTTCCAGTAATCACCTTAATTTTCTTCTTTTGCACACCTAACCAAATTCAATCCACCAACCTCTGGCAACTTCTCTTCAGAATCTCCCAAGAGCACATGTTCATCAGCAAAGAGCAGCTGTGACAACTCCCACTTTGTGTGTGATTCTTTATCATTTAACCCCACGCCTCTTGTCAAGACCCTCGCATTTACTTCTCTTACAACCCCATCTATAAATATATTAAACAACCACGGTGACATTCACACATCCTTGTCTAAGGCCTATTTTTACTGGGAAATAATTTTCCCTCTTTCCCTACATACTCTAACTTGAGCCTCACTATCCTTGTAAAACTCTTCCTGCTTTCGTAACCTACCTCCTACACCATACACTTGCAACATCTGCCACATTGCCCCCCTATCCACCCTGTCATACGCCTTTTCCAAATCCAAAAATGCCACAAAGACCTTTTTAAAGCCTTATCTAAATACTGTTCCCTTATATGTTTCACTGTAAACACCTGGTCCACACCCCCCCTTACCTTTTCCCTAAAGCCTCCTTGTTCATCTGCTATCCTATTCTCCGTCTTACTCTTAATTCTTTCAATAATAACTCTACCATACACTTTACCAGGTATACTCAGCGACTTATCCCCTATAATTTTTGCACTCTCTTTTATCCCTTTGCCTTTATAAAAAGGAACTATGCATGCCTCTCTGCCAATCCCTAGGTACCTTACCCTCTTCCTACATTTATTAAATAATTGAAACCAACCACTCCAAAACTATATCCCCAACCTGCTTTTAACATTTCTATCTTTATCCCATAAACCCCGGCTGCCTTACCCCCTTTCATTTTACCTACTGCCTCACGAACTTCCCCCACACTCACAATGGCTCTTCCTCACTCCTACAAGATGTTATTCCTCCTTTCCTAAAACCCGAAATCACAGTTCCCTATCTTCATCAACATTTAACAATTCCTCAAAATATTCCCTCCATCTTCCAATACCTCTAACTCTCCATTTAATAACTCTCCTCTCCTATTTTTAACTGACAAATCCATTTTTTCTCTAGGCTTTTTTAAACTTGTTAATCTCACTCCAAAACTTTTTTTCTTATTTCCAACAAAATTTGTTGATAACATCTCACCCACTCTCTCATTTGCTCCTTTTACATTGCTTCACCACTCTCTTAACCTCTCTTTTTTTCTCCATATACTCTTCCCTCCTTGCATCATTTTCTACTTTGTAAAAACTTCTCATATGCTAACTTTTTTCCCTTACAAACTCTCTTTACATCATCATTCCACCAATCGCTCCTCTTCCCTCCCGCACCCACTTTCCTGTAACCACAAACTTCTGCTGACACTCTAACACTACATTTTTAAACCTACCCCCAAAACCTCTTCGACCCCATTGCCTATGCTCTCATTAGCCCATCTATCCCCCAATAGCTGTTTATATCTTACCCTAACTGCCTCCTCTTTTAGTTTATAACCTTCACCTCTCTCTTCCCTGATGCTTCTATTCTCCTTGTATCCCCTCTACTTTTACTCTCAGTGTAGTACACTAGAAAGTGATCTGATATATCTGTGGCCCCTCTATAAACATGTACATCCTGAAGTCTACTCAACAGTCTTTTATCTACTAATACATAATCCAACAAACTACTGTCATTTCGCCCTACATCATACCTTGTATACTTATTTATCCTCTTTTTTTTAAAATATTTTATTACCTATAACTAAACCCCTTTCTATACAAAATTCAATCAAAGGGCTTCCCCCTTATCATTTACAACCTGGGACCCCCAAACTTACCTACCACACCCTCTCCAAAGTTTCTCCTACTTTAGCATTCAGGTCCCCTACCCACAATTACTCTCTCACTTGGTTCAAAGGCTCTTAACATCTCCCCAAAAACTCTCCCCTCTCCTCTGCATTCCTCTCTTCTCCAGGTGCATACACGCTTATTTGACCCACTTCTCGCATCCAACCTTTACTTTAATCCACATAATTCTTGAATTTACACATTCAATTCTCTTTTCTCCTTCCATAACTGATCATTTAACATTACTGCTACCCTTTCCTTTGCTCTAACTCTCTCAGATACTCCGATTTTAATCCCATTTATTTCCCCCCACTGAAACTCTCCTACCCCCCCTTTAGCTTTGTTTCGCTTAGGGCCAGGACATCCAACTTCTTTCATTCATAACATCAGCAATCATCTGTTTCTTGTCATCCGCACTACATCCACGCACATTTAAGCATCCCAGTTTTATAAAGTTTTTCTTCTTCTCTTTTTTAGTAAGTGTCTACAGGAGAAGGGGTTGCTAGCCCATTGTTTCCCGGCATTTTAGTCGCCTCATACGACACGCATGGCTTACGGAGGAAGATTCTTTTCCACTTCCCCATGGACAATAGAAGAAATACAGAAGAACAAGAGCTATTTAGAAAAAGGAGAAAAACCTAGATGTATGTATATATATATGCATGTGCATGTCTGTCAAGTGTGACCAAAGTGTAAGTAGGAGTAGCAAGATATCCCTGTTATCTAGCGTGTTTATGAGACAGAAAAAGAAACCAGCAATCCTACCATTATGCAAAACAGTTACAGGTTTCTGTTTCACAGTCATCTGGCAGGACGGTAGTACTTCCCTGGGTGGTTGCTGTCAATGAGGAGGAGGAGGAGGAAGAGGAAGAGGAAGAGGAAGAGGAAGAGGAAGAGGAAGAGGAAGAGGAGGAGGAGGAGGAGGAGGAGGAGGAGGAGGAGGAGGAGGAGGAGGAGAAGAAGGAGGAGGACAAGAAGGAGGAGGAGGAGGAGGAGGAGTAGGAGGAGGAGAAGAATACATAATAATATTACGTAATAATAAGTTCCCTTGAAGT